GAGTAAACTAGTTGAACTAGAATGCAAAACAATGCTTGAAAACAAGTTGTTAAATTTAATGAATGAAAGGCGCACTAGGATCACGAATCCCCATGCAATAATCTCTTTTAGTCCCAATTCTACAACTTGACAACACGGTTGAAGTTTTGATGAATCGATGTTCCTATTCTATCTAACAATCTCTCTCGAGTAATGTTGAACCTACTCTCATATACGACCCGACTATATCCCTAAGAACGAATGCAAATATACAAGAATGTATGGATATTTATGAACACTTAGAGATTCACGTAAGGCATAGCGGTATATCTCTATCCCCTATTGAACCCTACGATGATTTATACATTGTCAGCCTATTTCTCTTCTTTCAAATACATGAAATATGCCACTAGATTCACACAATCATTTGCGCACATAATTGTCGAGAAAAATAATTGTATATACACAATTCAAATTCGATTAACGTGTTTTAATGTCAAAAATGTAAAACTAGGAATTAACGGATTACGTCACATGATCCATCGTTCTCCTAGTACAGAAATATCTAAGCTAACATAGAGAAAATAATAAAACACATAGCTATTTGAAGAAACGACATCACGAGTTTAATATTTTGCTTGAAATCCCGTCAATCTTTGTGTTTCTCCTCGTATTTTGGCTCAAAATTTCCTTCAACATGTGTTCTAGGGTTTCTCTCTCACTTGGAATACCTCTCTCCTTCGTATTTGGCGGCTCTAAGCTTTTATATGCATCCCAAGATTCGTTTCCTTAAATGTTTGAACGAAATAAGGAAACCATAAATTTCACCTCGAGGTAGTTGTGCGACCGCATGGAGAATTCTACCATGCAACCGCATGGTAGATAGGAACTTCCAATTGTGTCAATTTAGTCATCGGACATTATTTTCTCCCATCTTGATCTCTTCTCTTCATTCTCCTTCTTCTAACATCCCTTGTATTCATCAAATTAGTACTTAGCTTGTTTACATTTTCGATTCTTGCTTCGGGTCATCTTTCGACTATTTGCACGTTGGTCCCTAAACTTTCGTTTTCTTCCATTTTGATCCTTTTCGTATCTTTTATCTTGAGTTCTGCCACATCCATCAATATAGTGGTACAAAACAAAATTATGCAGAATTATACCATATTCAAACACTTTTTTCAACAATTAGTCATGTTTTGTAACAAAATAAGTGTTGAAAAATTTACTTATCTGTATGGAATAAGAGTAAAGTAGAAACACATACGTAACTCTAAATTTAAAAAAAAAAAAAATTTAAGTAAAATTTTAATACATATGTGTTGTGACATATATATATATCTAAAATAAGGTAATAAAGTAATTTATAAAAAAAATTAATAAACTAGTCACACACATGATAATAAAATGTAAAATAAGGTAATAAAGTAAAAATAAAAAAACAAGTATAATAGTAGCACATGTTACTAAAATGCTAACTAAGTTAACGCAATTAAAAAGAGACGAAATCCACCTTTTAAAAAATTTAATGCTCTGAGTTTCAGATCAAATTCGTAGTGATATTTGATGTCGCAATGAGTGATTTGCTTTGTGGTGTTGGTGGTGGTTTCTTGTGTAGGCATTGGTGGTTTAGGGTGTCGATTGGGCGATGGTGGGACTAGGCTTAGAGGTTGGCAGAAAATAAGTTGGTGGTGTTGGGATCGGCAACAAAAACAGGTGGCTAATGATTTAATGCAATATGTGATAACGTCATTGCTTCTTCTCTAGAAAAAGAAATTCACAACTCGTGGGCCTTCTACCTCCACGCAGCATTGCTCCGTTAGACTTTCGTCCATTGTGAAAAATTTCCCACCATTGCCTCCCATAGGAGTCTGGGCCATGTCTCATTCCCAGTGTGACTCATCTTCATCTCGAATCACTGATCATTGTCTTGGTAAGCTATTGCCTATAACATAACAAATCATGTAATATAATATGTGTATATTACACATGGGGTGGGGATCGGTTGGCAGGAAATGGGTTTCCAGCAGTGGAAACAAATGAGCGTAACATGATTTCGTTACATGTAACAAGCTGTGTTACAAGAATTGTAATGCGTTATGTTGACGACATTTGATTACGCTCAAAGAATAACGTGGTAGTTGTAGTGCAGCTTTGGGGTGTTATATTCAAGGGGAGATGGAAAAATATTTAAAAGATAAAAAAGGATGGGTGTTCTCACGAATGATAAGAAATAGATTTGTTTGTCACGCGGGCACCGTTCATTGGTTTTAGACTCGGTAAGTGAAATTCATGCCCGTGCGAGCGCGAGAGAATTTGTCTGCGCGCGCAGATTTATCTCTGAACAGCGTTTGGTATTTTGGTCATAACTTTCTCCACAGGTATCCGATTGAGTTGATTCAAAATGAATTGGAAATCTAACCCAAATGGCTACAACTTTTCTTCAAATACTATCTTCAAATTCGATCTTTTCCATGTCATAAATGGGTCTCAATATGAGGCTGAAAATCGGTGTAAAACTTTTCAGCTTGATAGTTGATATGTGATAATGTTTTAGTTATGTTTCATTCATTTGACTCCTTCCTTTATCCAATTGACCTTTAATACTCTTGAATCTTCATCCAAGGTTAGAAGCAAGTTTAAAGTATTTGTCATTTAATCCCTGAACTTCCCTTTTTTTCAGTTTGGCCATTTTTCACTTGTTTCTCCTTATTTTCGCTACATTAATCACTTGTCCTGCAAACATGAATTGCATATAATTAAGCTATATTCCAATGTATTAATCAAAAATTTCTCATGCTTTGACAGTAAAATAAGTATGTAAAAACGCACTTATCAACATTTGTCACCAAGCTCAATCCTACTTTCTTTATGTAATTCTCGTCAAATTATAATTATTACAAGTGGTTTTGTGTTACGGGTTGATCTTACTACAATATTTTCAACTGATATATTGTCGATTTTGGATAACTTATAAGACAAATCCTACATGTTTTATTAATGTGAAATACATATTTTTCGACTATCTGTTTGTAATATGAAATTTTCAAATTGAATTATAATATGGAATCAAAGTAGGAAATAGATCTACAAAGCATATTAGTAACGCTCAATGTCTCGCTTCTTTCATTATTAATCCCTTCTAATTTTTATGCGTACTCCTTTTTCTACATAATTTCATCTCTTTTGTTTACCATTTTAGTATTGCTAGAATGTTTTGTTGAAAATTTCCTCGTGGAATCAACACCTTAATCTACAATAACCACAATACTTAAATCTATATTGCAATAGCCACAGTATATTTCAAGAATTTTAATCAAAAGCTGCAAGAATTTCCGAAACTTTTTACTTGAGCTCAGCTAGAGTAAGAGTGTATTTGGTAGAGATTAAAATCGAATTAAAATTAAAAAACTAGCCGTTATTGTTGACTTTTATTAGACGGGTATGACCCAATAACGACTATATTTTCAATTTTAATTGGATTTTTAGTGTTACCAAAAAAGCTCTAAAAATGGTTCAAGCTTTTTTTGGTCCGAACCTAGTCGAGCAAAAGCTCTGCAAAAAAATTTAGGCTCTATCCGAGCTTTCGGCTCGAGCCTTAAAGAGCCAAGCCGGCCCCATTTTTTTTTTTTTTTTAATTCGTGACAAATTTAATTTTTTTTAAAGAATTTAAAATTTATGTAATTTATACGTATTATAAATAATAACTAAATATTAACATATAAAAAAATTACAGCTGTAAACTTTTTTTTTATTTAATTTTATTTTTTAGTCACACGAGTTGGACTCGAGCCGACGCCCCGAAGTGGGGTTTGTCTCGAGCCTCGACCGAGCCAATAGCCGGCCTGGCTAGGGCTTTTTTCTGGTCGAGCCCAAGCCGCCCGAGCCGGCAAACCATATTGACATCCCTATTTGGGGCAAATTATAGATGGTAGGGATCTTGTCTCAAAAGTTCCAAAGTCAAAGGATTTCAATTGCAAATAGGATATTAAAAAATTTGTAATTATTGAGGACTCCTTTTTTTATGTCCTTACCACAAAAACTAATAAGCTTTTACCAATTATTTGTTTGGTAGGACCTTCCAGGTTTGGGCCATCATTGGGTTGTCATTTGGATTTTA